CGCAGAGGTGGGTCCCTACCATTCTTGCGGTAGGAGTTTGCATTTCATACGAGCAAAGCAAAGCCCCAGACAATTGACAACTAGTGCTAATCTATCCAGTGCTGCTAGAAACGTTGAAGAGCTGTCACAGATTAGGCCAATGTCGTCAGCATAACCCAAGTCAAGAAGTCGATCACCACAGGGAAGCAGCTCCCCACCATGTAGGTCGTATCCAGCGGACGCCGTTTTCATGACTTCGTTAGCGGCGAAGATAAAGAGGAAAGGTGACAGTGGACAACCTTGTCTCACACCGCTGGAGATATTGAAGGGCAGCGACAGCTCGCCGTAAGATCTCATTCTGCCAGTACTGCGCGGGTAAAGCGTTATTATGACATTTACATATTTATCGGGTACACCATTCCTGTGTATACAGTCCCAAAGGACACATCGGTCGACTGAATCGAAGGCACCTTAGATGTCTAGAAACACGATTGCGATGGGTCGCCAATAAATATGGCGGTGCTCCAACAAGTAACATCATGTGAAAATGTAAGCAACACAGCAGCAACTTCGACGGAACCCTGCTTGATCCTCACTAACCCTGATTTCACTGGTGTCAGCAAGTCTTCGAAGAACGACAGAGTCAAGTAACTTAGAGGCAATTGAAATCAGACTGATCCCTCTATAATTGCCGCATTCTGAAGGTGAGCTCCCTTTGCAAATTAAGGTTAAAAGGGAGCGACTTCAGTCTGTCGGGATAGTCCCCTGCTACAACTGCTTCACTAGTAAATTGCGCAGACCATCAACAAAAGCCGGTCACCCGAATTTGAACTCTACCTCCCCCTGCGGTATTATTCAACTTTAACAGCCCGATCCGACGTTTGACTTCTGCGCGTGAGGGCGGATCTAAGGAGATGACTCAGAAGTAAGGGCAATCAATGCTCGAGAAAGAAGATGATAAGTCAGGTTGATTAAACTGCTTCGCAAACTGCTCGGCTCAACGCTCCAAGAGTGCTGAAAAGCTATGAATCGGCTGTCCACTTTCGTCGCGCATGGACTCGTGGAGACAAGGTCTCCTGTTTCCCATTTCCCATATAAGAAGGAATACCAACGGCAGCGGCAGTTTCCATTTCCGATGTACGACAAGACCACTAAGCTTCGCGGCCTGTCTTTACGATAGCACGCAGTTTTGATGTAAGAATTTTGCGAGTCATAGTATGTTCGATTCCAGCCGAAATACGTCGACGGGCATCCATAAGTTCCATATATTGCGTAGTGATCCAATATCCACGTTAGAAATTTTAATTGGCACATGAGGACATGTCTGCTGATAGTAACGTCTGGCGGATCTGCGTCCAGTGATCTTCAATTGTGTTCAGTGGCTGCTTACTCAGCCCGGATGGCGGAAGAATTTGATACGTGTTCAGAACACCTGGCTTCGCAAGTTGGCATGTGTCTATGCGCGCACAGCAACGTTGCGGACGTCCACCGAAACCCACCAGAAGATCGACAAACACTAGAACATAATCGGAGTCCACGCTCGTGCTCCAAATCAACCGATAACTTTGGACGCATCCTCTCCAGCGGTAACTGATCGCGATGTGATCGATTTGCGTCCATGGCTGTCTCGAGGCTGGTGGGCGCCAAGTCACTCTTCTGCGAGTAATGTCGAAAATTAATGCACGTGAGAAAGAGATGAGCATCTTCACACAGGTGTATCAACCGCTCACCGTCATCATTACGGGGTCTACAATATGTTGGTTGCCTAGGCGAAGATCATCCAAGAACACTTCTCCGACATGAGTGTTCAGATCACTAGCAAGCACCACAGTAGCTGTACTTCTTCGGTAACGAACAATCTCCTTCAGTTGGTGATAGGATTCATCCTTCACCGAGTCAGTGCTACAGTTTGTGGACGCGTAGGCCTCAATGACAGACGGGCACCGTTTGTCCCCAAACGACTTCGAAGCCTGGAATGAGCCAGTCAACCTAACGGTGCACATCGGTCTATTGACTGGTATCCAATCGATCAGGGCAGCTTCAGCCCGGGGACTCAAAACAATTCCTACTCCGGCATGTGGAGCTGTATCATCTCCAGAAGGCGCAGTGAGAATGTGCAGCCACTGTTGCATGTGGGAGATCGCAAGTTAAGCACAGCGATCGCATCTTGCGACTGGGTTTCCGATAAGCAGGAAATATCTATAGTAAGGGTCTTTAGTGTTCGGGCAAGTGCTGCCTATTGGCCAATCTGCAACAGCATGCGCACGTTGCGGCATACCAGTCTTAGCGAGGATCGAGGACTCCAAAGACACACGGTTGGACTGACGTCGTTTGTTTGGTCGAACATGGACTTGTTGACTAGGCTGGAGCGGCGCCCTGCTTTTGAATGTGCGTTGAAACGTGAAGACAAGTGACTGTTGAAGCAAGATAGAGAGGGCCAAGAATTGGGGGGTTGAAAACAGTTGGAGAAATTTAATTTGGAACTGGTCGATAAGGATAAGAAAAGCGCAAGCGGGGGGAATAAGAAGACGGGAAACCTTGTACGGTAGCATCCAAGCCCCTAACCACGCTGCTTGCTGCAGCACATAGCGAGCGGTTTATTATTTTCTGCGACGACCAGAGCATCAAGAAATAGTTTAAAGGGAAAGGCAATGTGTTGTATTGCGTGGCAGGACAATGTCAGGTTTTCTATGCTTTGACAGGAGAACGAGTAGGGTTCTGAACCAAAGCATTTGGTTCTATAACTTGATTGCAGTGCAGCGAAGTTTTGGCCCTGGGCTACAGAAAGTCCTTTTATCGATTAAGGAACCAATCTCATTCCAACCGCAAGTTGGAGAGGTCCAGAAAACTGCCTTTGTCTGATCCCTAACCATTGACCAATCGGGTATGACTGGGTTTGAAGGTGCAAAAACACCATTTAGCATAGCTCCATGGACCACAGAGGCATAGATACCATCGCACCACGTTTGGATCCCGTCTCGAAGATGGATGAAACCTGCGAGGGTTGCACCAAGTGACATCGAGTGGCACCGAGTGACAAGGTTAACTAAACAAATACGAGGCATCTGACGAACACCGGTCACCAGGTAAACCCGGATGAGTCATTCGTAGTCCTCATGCGCAGTCGAATTCCTCACATTCTCAAACTCCTCGAGTTCAATGTTATCGATCGACGGCCCTCACCACTCTGTGATCCAAAACAGCTGACAGTGACGCTAAGCCTGCCTTAATATCGAGTAACGCACCAATCGGAAAACAGTTGACCACCAATAGATTTCTGGTAACCTTATTAGAATGAACGTTGCCTACGAGAATGCATGAAATCAAATGAAGAAAGGGCTTTGTGCACTCAACGCGAGCGAATATTTAGCCGTAATACGCACGCTTTCGGTGATGCAGCATGATAGAAATGCAATTCAAAAAAAGATTAATAACTGGAAAACACGATTCCATCGTGGCATACTCTGGATGATAAGTTCTCAAATGACTGTTAGGATGCAGCAAAAATCGCACTAGCTAAGAAACAACTAACGGGCGATAAGATTGTGTACGGACATATATAGACTTGTATTGTTCTTCGGTTGACGAGGTCGATGCACATTCCGGCAACACACTATGAAGGGGTTAAATTGTGTGTCGGCAACTACTGTGGATCCTAGTCCCTTGCAAGAACCAACATGAGTGGACGCTAGTATCGTCAAACTTGTCTAAGGCGATCACTCAAGGGAACCGATAAAAAGTGGTCGCTTTAGACAGGTGGTCGCCATGGACAGGTTCATGCATAGGGATATTACTCATGAAAAAACGTTGGGGATGTCTTGGACTGGTCGCCATAGCAGGTTGGACTGTATATCAACATGGCGATAAGTGTTTTAGCGATGTTGAGATGAATCCATTGTGCGTACGTAGTAGATCAGGAAAAATCACTGGGAGCAGTAGATTCAGTGTGGAAGAGCACAGGCAGCGATAAAACGACGCATCAAATCATGGGGGAGAGAGGATGCACGAAGGCGAGAAACGCAAACGATAATCTCCTGACTTTCGTGAACGATTCTTTCCTACGGTGTGACCAAGATATTCAGTGCCATCCCACAACATTCGCTTTCTGCTATTCCTATACGGAATAATAAAGGGAATCGAATGCTTCCAATTATCCGTTATCTATTGCTGGACCAAAGCTGTTTAGCATGAGCTGCACTACCCGAACTAGTGGGAACGAGAAACGCAGCGTCTTGCCAGAGATGACAACCACAACCAGTTTAAAGTGCTTATTTTCTACTGAACCACTTGTTTGTTCACGCAATAAGGATACGCTGCCATTGCTGACCTCATCTATGGTTATTTATCAGTTCAAGTGCGTTTGTGACGCTACTTATATTGATCGAACGACACGGCACTTGTCCAAACGCGTGAAGGAGCACTGCTTGCGCTGGTTGCGTCAGGGAGGAACTGGGGCCATTAGCAGCGCCGTTTTGACCCATATTGTCGACACTGGGCACCAAGTCGATCTAAAGCGTGCCTTCATGATAATTTACAGGGTCTCCCAGCATCAATCAAGAGGTTTGCGCCTCCGTGCGCTCGCGACAGCTGAATCGATTTGTATTCGGTTGTTTCAACCATCGTTATGCTTGCAAAAGAAGTTGCTCCATGTCTTACAGCTTCCCTGGCCTGCTAGATCGAACGATACTGAGGTTGATTGCCAAAATCAAGCTCAATAACATGCAATCGACCTGTCAGATCAATGGTCAAGTTTTAGCCTCCCTCACTGATCCGTTAATTAACTATGTAACTTGACCCAATGAGTCGATTTCAGTTCATTATTTTACCCTTAAATATGATTGTAATGGTCTGAACAGAATCATTGAAAAGAATTGTTCACCTATGGTCTCGGGTTCTTTTGACTTTAAATGGGAATTTTCAAGTTGTATTTTATTCACTTTGACAAGTGACTTCATCATACGTATGCCGATAATTGATTTAATTAATTTCGGTGAAATAAAGTTCATACAAGGAAAACCCACTTCCATCAGTTTTCCTCCACGCTGAATCTCGGCGCTTACTCGTGCGACAAAATTGGGGGACCCATATTTTTGAGCCTGCTGTAGAAGTTCCTTATTTGTGATAACATCAGCATATTTCGAATCCATGGCAATGCGCATCGGACCGTGGGCAACAACAAAAGAGTTTAGTTCGCCTCTATCATAATTAGTTTCGGAATGCCGCAAAGCACTGCGTGTGACGATGGATGACAGGTTTGATGGGGTTCCATAGGATCCACTTCGATGAACTGATAAGTTGGTGTTCACTTTTGCAAGTGGCGTTGCTGGTAGTAAGTTGCGTAAGTTATGTTTTACAGAGAATTTAACATGGTGATTCATATCTTTCTGTACCGAAGGAAAATCGAATCTATCCAAATCTTCTTCTTCATCGTAGATTGAACGGTCAGAATGATTGTCATGTGCATCTATTTTTGATAAATGTTTATCAATGCCATCTTGTCGCTTGACTTGAACGTCATCATTCTTGTCCGTCTGGAGATTAATATTTGAAGAGGGATCCGACATGCTCTCACTGCTGACACGTGTGAACAACGTGCAGCCAGATTTGTTTCTCAAAGAACTAACTTCTGTTTGGAGGCCATCCCCCTTTGAACTTTTACCCGAACAATCCTCTAGTGAGTCCTCAATCGACGGTGAATTGGCCAACTTGAGAATAGTGGAATGATTTTTATTTATCTTCCGTTTTCGCACACCTTGTTCACGGGGAGTCACTGCAATGTTCGTACTTCGCCATCGGTTTGGATAACTATCCTTTGGCCAACTTCCAACAGAGACACGCTCGTTTTGTTGTACATATGCATTCTTCGTCAATCTGAGCTAGCGAAGCAAAATGATATGAGGATATGAACGAAGTTCTATGAAAAAGCAGACATTTTGTTGATTCATGCCATACAAATCAACCGAAACCGAGTTCGATTATACTGTGCTTCTTCTTTTATTACTTTTGTTGGCTACACTAATTACAGGGAGTGAAGAACACAGCGAAAAATGACTTGTAGAGGCTATCCTCGGGTTAAAGTTTAAGGTTGTGAAGTGTAATGCATGTCGGTGAAAAAGTTTCTACAGAAGCTTCGATGGTTGGAAAGCTGTCAAGAAGGAAATCTAGCAAATCTATATGAGAAAAAAACACTTAGGATCGCTCATCCTCTATTGGCGTAAACAGACACGTAAGGTTTTATCCAGCTAGCGCTAAGTGTTGATTTTTCAGTCATGAAGAACCTTTCGTATGATGTGATTTTGCGCACCAGAGTTAGATCAACACACTATGAGATTCCAGAATGTATATTTATGATACCTACCACCAGATTCTCCGCGACGCTAGTCTTAGTGACTGAACAGATTATGCAAGACAGGCAGGACTACCGTTCGCTAGTGAATAAGGAAATATCATGAATGTGTCCTTTGTGATGCGCATCCAAACGGTTGCAATTTGCCACAGCATTTCGACAGATGCGTCATTTTTAACAATGTCGAAATCGCCTTAATAACAAGCGTTGCACGATCAACGGCTGGTGTAGATGGATTTCTCGACGTCTGTGGTGAACCTGAAAACATGCTCTTTCAGTATTGCGAAACATTAAATGTTTTGCAGTTTGTACTTTCATACCATCCAATTGTTTTACTTACTGTACACTTCGTGAAACTCCTCAGCACGGTGAGTCACGCGCTATGTTGTTCCTCACACTCCATGCCTTGTAGCCTTTACAATATAGGCTCAATCCAGCTGCCACTATTTTCTCTACCGTTTCACATTTGGCACGTATCTTACGTGCCATCGCTACCGGTCAAAGTCACTCTCGGAAAATCAGCTACCACCATACTCCCGGCTACAATCCGAGGCGCGCCTAACGTGTCCAGGTTAAAATTTATAGCTTTAAACATTATGTCATGTTTGTCACTGCGCAAATCAAGTTGATTGTCATTCCCGTCATCAACAGCGGTAAGTATAGCTGTCATATAACCATGATGGTCTATGGAATAACGATTGGCAAGAGGATAACGAGAAACTGAAAGTAAAGTTGTCTTAAACGAATTCTCAGGGAAAAAGCAATTACCTATTGTCAGTAGTGTAGGGTCACAAATACTGGCTACTATGTAAAGATAAACCAGCAGTGATAAGACATATCTCACTGGCTCTGGTCATAATCATATCAAAGCAAATTTACTAAAGTAATCTGACCAAGCGGAAACAAGAAACGCCCCACTCTTGTCGGTCGAACGCACGCTGTAGGCTATATTGATTTCTCCTAAAACGGCATAGCGGGTATGGTGACAATGCATCTTGAAGGTTCGTGTGCTGAACTTCTGATAACTGTTACAATCAGTGTACAGCTTCAGAACATAGACAAATAAATGCCATGTCAGCAAGTGCCTACGACAGCTGGGCGCGTTATTACCGCAGATACCTGCAACTCATCTTTCAGGTAAACCGTGATTTCGACTAGAAAACACCCAATACTCACTCGTAGTTCATCACCTATTTCAACACAAAATACCAATATTTCAAATACTACTGGGAGCATCTGTCTTAAGACCACTTAGCGTCAGTCCTAACATACGCAGTCAGCACATCAGTCGGGGGCGCGTATGTCGTACACGGAATTGCCGAATCCATTTCTCTTACGTTCCATACATACAGAAAGCTAAGATAAGCGCGCATCAGACACAGGGTTTCGGTTACGGCTGTTTTGCACCAGTTTTAAAGTTAGTGTACGGGCACAGCAAAACAACGCATTCACAACTCTAAATGAGAATCAGGTTTGCAATGAGATTGAATTTGATCAACATTACTGCTCTTGCCGTGGATAGTGTTATTTGTTCGACAAATAATTATAATGGTTTTCGCCGCCCACACTTTTATTATAATACTCACTCCAAGAAAATTATCCTTTTCGAATTTTACCCCTAACTTACCGAATTAGTTAGAAATTATAACAAGATGTCGAAAAGGCAGACGAACCAGTTGCTTCGAGTCTTCATTAACGAAGACGTTTTTTATAAGCCACTGAACACGCACTAAGATAATTAAGGTTTATTTAAATAAAAGTTATCAACCGTACTTGCTTATGAGTGCTAGTGAGGTACATCTATCTCAGTGCACACTTGTGGATCTCCGAGAAAAGGGCGCATTAGCAAAGGACAACTAGACTGATAACTACTAAATCTGCAACGGCATGTTAATTGAATTTTTGGAGCATGTGTTCCTCATAAACAGCCAAATGACATGACTCCATAAAAGTTTGAAAACAATCAGTTGATGGACTTCTCGGGTTTTGATTCACTTTTATATAAATAACCCCAATTCGTATATTTACCGACAAGTGGTATATGGCCGCTATGCAGGAACCATCATTTTTGACCCAGAAGATTCGTCAGACTAGTTGCTTCGGTATACTTTTGGGGCATTTACAGCGGACCTGGACGATAACCACGAGAACAGAGGCGGGCATCAAAATGTTATTGCAAACCCAAGTTTGGATGTCATCTCAAGTGTTTTCAGTCACAGCGAGAATAGGCAATGTGTTCTCTCGTGCTTAATAGCACTGACAGATAAGCCGATGACGATGTGGTAACAATTTTTGCCTTCCCGACCGAGAGCGTGCGTTATTGCTCAAGAGTTTGACCGGTTTAAGATCTATTGTCATGCACACGAGTTTCACCTCCTCTACCCTTTCCACTCATCTGTCTGTTTTGGCGAGTTCCACTGCCTCAGAAACCAACCACTGGGATGTTGTTCGTGTATCATTCCTAGTGATCTCTACATTATCCGAGTCCATCTGATGACCACTGATGCACGCACATCCACAGCCGAGTAACTTAAGTTAAACCAAAGGTATTTTATTTTTCGACGGGGCGAGAGAGCCTTTCCGCAAAGTTATTAAACGGGGTATGAAGTTTAGCGGGAGCCCAGATAGGGATTCCAAAGAGCAGATCGTAGCAGTGAAGATTGACATTTGTCGCTCAACTGCAGATTCCTGAAAAATTGTTATAGGTGGTCTTTCTCAGAAGATATAATACGCTTAAGCGGGGTCTCTTTGAGGGCTGTATATTGATTTTCTGTCTCAGAAATGAGGACGTCTCGAATCTGCATGAATATCTCCTTTGGAAGATAAACATCAGCTTGCCGTAGCTAGCTTATTCGGAGGTTCTTCTGTTGGTATTAAATTCAGCCTCCAGATGAGTGAACCATAAAAGCGGATTCATGTCCCAAAATGGTGGGACAGAGAGAGATACAAAACCAAATACGGGAGACAGTACCCTTTGGTCTACATATTCCATGGCAAACATTAGCACAAAAACTATTAGCAAAAGAACCAATAAACCAGAAAATATGAAATAATAAATGGAACGGGCTAACTGGAGAAAACTTGGAAATATCCGGCGTTAAGTTCTTCTGAAATCGGGTCGCCAAATTAGCGGGAGCCAAGATAGGGACTCCAGGAGGCCGATCAGATTTCATGGTAACTATTCTTTGTACAGTAGAAGTTCCCCTGTTCACCTAGCGTTAAAAAACAACAATGTTGACACTACTAACAAGGGGGTAACGAAAGATGTACAGCACACAAAATCGATCACGCGCTGCAATCGATCCTAGAGCCAAGCAAAAGCGATGCTCGACCCAAGTGATCGGACTCAACAAGCAGTTCAACAATCTTCTTGGTTCAACTACGACGGAGGAAATTCTGCTTCGTGACATAGCTGTAGTGACTACCGGAACAATGCAAGCGATTCTCTCAATCGTGAGCTCCGTATTGTCCACTCAACTAGGTGATTTGGCAGACAGCCACAAGTCGACGTCAGGAAGGTCAATGCCGTCGAGTCCCAGGGCACTTCTGTCTCCGGTTTACAATCAACTATAGAAGCGCTGTAAGCACAGGTTGCGACACTTAGTCGCCAAGTCCAACAGCTCAATATGAGCGTCGCCGTCCTAACTGATCAAAATCAACTTCGAGACGCTTCACGTATATTAACAGACAACCTTACTATCTGACCACAAAGTCTTTGGCAACACAACTCACAAATTTGTTAATCCTTGCACCTTCGCCGAGAAGCAGGGAAATTCCTCGACCATAGTTGTGATAGACTCGACCGGCCAAATCCAAAGTCGCCTCGTTCGCGTTGGGGAGTTAACTTCAGGCATCGAGTTCGTAGGGGACACCGGAGCCAAAGTTAGCGTTATACCCCAAAGGTAGTCTCACCCTCGCCGATCAGACTACGTGCCGCAATGGCACTGTAATCATAATTTTCAACGGGAAGTTGCTTACATTCAGTCTAGGCCTCCGGAGAACCTTTCGTTGGGCTTTCATAGTAACAGCCGTGTCTTTCTCTATCAGAGACATAAACTTTCTCCATAATTTCGACCTCATCATGGACGATAAAAGATAGAAGTTTATCGACTCTCGGACACAGTTTAGCCTTACCGGGAATATCGCCAAGGTGGCCGCGATCACTCTTATCTGTGCCCTGCTTCAAGCTTCACCGCATTGTAGAGGCGTTTCTAACCAGGATACTAAGTTCTTTCGCACTTAGAGTAACTGACCTCCAGTGACGTCAAAACTTATGCATTGTATCTACACTAAGGGCCCACCGGTTTCGGTCCGCCCTCGCCGACTAGCCCAGAAAAACCCATAGCGACTAAGTCGGAATTCGAGCAAATGCTCGAACTGGGAATAATCCGCCCGTCCAAGAATCCTTAGGCATCCCCATTACACATTGTACCGAAGAAATCCGGCAACGAACGCCTCTGTGTTAACTACAGGGCACACAAAAATTACCATCGTTCGTAAGTACCCCCTTCTGCACATGCGCAACTTGAC